CAGATCAACTTTAAAGATTCTCCTTTTGTCACAGCAGCAACCGCCAAAAAAGCATTTGAAAAATCCATCTCAATTATTAATACTGTTCCTACCAGCTGTCCCTCCTCCCACCCTCCTTCTCCTTCTGCTTCCGCTTCTTCTACTCCCGATACCAGAAAATCTCCAGATAACATCATTGAATCACAAGAAAAAAAAGCATCTGTTGCTGTTGTTGCTGCTGCTGCTGCTTCACAATCAAAAAACATGAACAACAACACCGATACTAACAACATTGATACTAACAACATTGACAACAGCGAAAGTGCTAAAAGAGTGAAAAATGAAAAACAGCAACAAGCCACAAAAACAATTAAACTTCAAGCACTCTTGCCTCGTCGGCGTCATCATCATCCATTAGAACCTAAAATTGAAAATGAATTGGATTTTCCAATGTCATCAGATGAAGGAGGAAATGATTCTGGAAAAATGGGAGCGGAGGTGAGGAAAAGAAAAGAAAAAGATGATGACGACAAAGAAGTAAAAGGCAATAAAGGAAAAAATAAAAAAATTGACGAGGTAAGATAATAATAATAATATACTAATATATTAAAATACAATCCAAATTTAGAAATAAACGTTTGGTTAACTTACCAAAATTCCTTATTATTAAAGAAATATCAAAAAGAGCGTCAAGAAAGAATCAAGTACTTTAAAGAAATTGATAGCTTCCAAATAAACTTTAAATATGATGATACCGATGATAACTTTAAGGAAAAAAATATTGATGGAGTATTGACAGTTGATGATGATAGTGACGAAAATGAAGAAATATATGAAGTGGCGGCGAGAAAAAGTAGTAAAAAAAAAAAAAGAATTTATGCAAACGTGATATTGTTTCGAGCAAGAAGTGCAAACGTGGACAAATATATGCTAAATAAATAAACGACGACGATGATGGTGATGATTTCTTTGTTAATTAAAAGTCATGAGATGATGAGTAAGGATGAGTAAGAGAATAAATATATGAATGGGTAGGCGGAGAAGGCAAATAATTAAATATCATACCGTATATAGAATTATTTATTTTGGTGCAATTCAATGCAATTCTCACACCACGTTTTATGAAGTCTGTTTAACAATGAATGAATGAACTTAATTGAATTAATAATTTCTCTTGTTTCGAAAATGATCTGCAACGTGGCTAAAATTAAACCTGAAAAAACTAAAATGAACTTTAGCAGGAGGGAAATCGAAGAATAAAATTGGAAGAAAAAAATATATTTTAGGTTTTTTTTTAAGGATGGTGCCTGTTTCAGAGAAACAAAATTTATAATACGGAAGCGGTCATGAAACCGTTACACGTTACACAATGTACACACGTTTTTTTTGGATTATGATAACGACTATCAATTGCATCATAATTGTAGATCTCAACAATTTAACCATTTAATTTTAAAGATATTTTTTTATACTTCTCACTATTTTTAGAATTCTCTAAAACAAAAAAAAATTATTATAAAGAATTTATTAGTTAAATAAGCTTATTATATCATTTATTAGTAATAAAATAAATGATTAGATAACAATAACTGAACGACAACAAACATTCTAATAATTGTAAGATAAACAAAGCTCGGGGAACAATAACTCGTTGTCGAATAACAATTAGCGAGTAATTATTTATATTAAATCAATAATAATCAATACATTTATTATAAATTTATAAAACAATTAACCGCGGGAGATTGTTACAATTCAGGTTGGCTATTTGATTATCTTGGCACGTTAGAAGTTCTAGATTTTTGCAACCATCAACTTCTAATTAGAAATTTTATTGTTAACAAAATAACAAAACAACTGTATATTTTGGAATATCACGGAAATTTATAATTGAAACTATTTGTTGTGATCGCAATTATATGATATGTAGTAAACTGTATGGAGTACGATTAGTCGAGAAAAAGATGACGCACAATGCAAATACCAATTGCGTTCAAGAAAACAGGTTAATTTAAGTTATTTATTAGAATGAACCAAGTAAATAAACGGAAAACAAATATTTTTAATATAGATGTATTTGGGCATCAATGAACTTTAAGTTTTAGAATTTTAGATTATTTAGGAAAGTTCCATTACGCGTAACAATAACTTCAATTGAAAAGAAAAGGTTTGTTCAATTGGATTATTGGTATGTTATACATCTTGTCACATGTTATAATGAGCGTGCGTACAATAATAATTAAACGTTTTACACGTTATAAAGCATACACGATCTTAATAACAAACAATACGCGTAAAAGGCAAATAAAGACAACTATTATTCTTGTTTTTCAGTTATTTATTTGTTATTGTTATTTATTAAATGCAACTAATTAATAATCAGGATAAAATTGGTCAATGAATAGTTAACCAATGACAGAACTAGTTACTTAATTAGTTAATACTAGCAAACGAACAATCGAAACATTTTTTGCGAATTTTCAGACCCCCTGTAAATTCATTTATAAGTGTGTCGATCATTTCATATAGAAGGTTTGTTTTGCTATTATCACCTCTTCTTTGAAATTTGAAATTCGAAATATATGCATGTAAGCGTTCTAAAATGATGTTTTTTGAAACTTGGTTTAAAAGGTTTAACGAGCTATAATATTAAAGATGATGTAAAAAATTATTGGTAGAGTGACCTATTTTCATCGGGTAAATTTTAACGTGGTGGAGAATGAGATTGGGGCGTTATATATAATCATAATCACAAACATTGGAGAAATCAAATAATAAAATCAAATTTTTATTTATAAATATTTTTTTGTTATTAAGAAGCGAGAAACTTAAAGAATTTATAAAAATGATTTTAAATTTCTAGAAATCTTGTCTATAATTTTTTAAATGTAAATAAGTATTTTTTAAAAATATGGCTTTGTTACATTGTAAATGCAAAGCTCAAAACATTTTTCAAAAAAATCTCACCTGTATGTGATGAGTTATAACCGGTTATGTTTAAATTTGAGTTTATCGACAAAAATCTATACTAAATACTATTAGGTTTCCAAATTTCAGGGGAAACTAAACACAATATAATATTTCCATATTTGTTTTTGGAAATTTGTTTATTTTTATATATGTTTGTTACAAATTTAGAAAAAAAAATTTATAAATAAACAAAAAAATTTTTTTAGACTCGCCAGAAAAAGTCATGAAATGAAATTAAATTTATGCATTGCTCTATTTAAAAATATCAACACTCGATTGCTATTCCAAATAATTCAATTAATCACTTGCCACCTTTGTCAATATATAATGACCATTATCAATAACAATAATATTACTGTATATCTTTTCTTAAAAAATCATACTAATGCATTATTTATTTATTATTGAAAAATTCCAATTTCAGAAATTAATTAAATTAAATTCTTTAAATTGTTTGAAATATTTTTAGCATAATATCATTATGTTATTTCTAATGAATATTAATGAATTAATTAATAATAATTAATCAATCAATTTCCAATTATTGTATTGTGTTTGTTGTTGACTTAAAAAAAAAGATAAACTCAGTTATTAATCAGTGTCATCATCACGATGACAGATGATATTGTTGAGTTTAAACAGATTAAAGTTTTAAGCGATACGAGTATGCGAGGAAAAAATGAAATTGTTTATTTTTTGATCAAAAAACAATATGAACGGACCAATAAATTTGTATGTGTGTGCTACACACACGCGTATAGATAGAAATTTTCAATTGATTCTTCTTCACATTTTCTTTGCCGAAAGAATATTAATAATATTTAATTTAAATGCGTTAAGGAGAAATACCAATTCGGGGTAATAAATATAATACTTTATTTTTTTTTTTTTTAAATTAATTGTTGTAGCTCTTTTATGGTATAATGACTTTCCAATTATATCGTAAATTCAATGTGAATTGTCATCATAACATTTACATTATCTTGTTTGTATATATTATTTATAGATTAGTTACGAAAGAAAAGAAGAATATTAATGATGGATAAATGGAATGGATGATGGATAGATGAATGGATAGATAGGTGGATTTATGATAAAAAGAAGATAAGGAAAAATATTAATGTAAAGGTCACATTATTTCGAAAAAAGGAATACAAACAAACCTTTAAACATTGATGACAAAGGAACAAATCATCATCGATTTACAAAAATAGATCATCATTCTCTTTGAAAAAACTTTAATGCCCAAAAGATTATAATTATTATGAACTTAATGACAATAATAATAATAATAATAAGGAATTTCTTTTCACTATGAGCTACTTTTTTTATTACTGATGCGTCGATAGGGATCAAAGGCAATCGATTCGAGCACTCACTCATGCTACAGTATCATTCATTTAGGGATGAGGCGGTTCCAAGTAAATTGCTAATTCTAGAATTGATTTTTCCTTACAAGCTACTAATTACGTTTGTTTGCAGTAATGAGTTGTTTACCTTTAAATTTTCTTGAGATAGGAATTTGGAACCGGTTCTGGAACCGGTTTGGTCTGGTCTCAAATAACGAATTGCTATTTTTGGAGATGATTTTCTGGCAAGAAACTATTAATAGAATTTATTTATACCATTTTTTTTTAGGGTGTTACTTTATATAGTTAATCGTTTGGACTTTACTAAAATTAACAATTACTTGGAGCCGCCCATACCTACATCATCACGCCAAGATTCAAAATACTTTATGTATTGGAAAGTTTGTAGAGGCTTTTACGTGGAAAATATCGATAATGAGTCACTAGTGCCCAAAATATTCAAATCAATTGGTTACATGTGTGTTACGCATTTGCATGGTCAGTCAGTAGCCTGGTAATTTTCTGTTAAAACCAATTATTTTTTGGATTACGTTTAGAATCAGAAGTTATGGTTAGTACATGGAAAGTGGAAAGTTTTAACCGATGGAAATGTATATTTCCAAGATGGTGTTGTGTAAACATATTATGTTTACCAAACTCGCGACCGAATGCTAAAGAACAGAAACATATATATAATATATATATAACGCATTCGTATTTATTATCAGGTAAAATTATTTGTGAAAAGTTAACCCAAGACATAATAAGAAAAATGTCATGATAAAATTATACTTGGAATAATTCTTGAAAAATAGAAATTACTAAAAAGGAACTAATAATAATAACAGTAATGACAATAATAACAGGCGGTGATGATCAAGTAAAGAAGCGTTGGGAGAGAGAGTAATCAAACAATATCAAAGAATTATCTGTGACCATCCATAAAATTTGCTCGTCGTCCCAATCCTAAATAATTCGGAAACTATAGTCGTCAACTAAGGAAATCAATTACGTTGTTGAATATATGCATTGATATGTGAAGTAGGTTGTAATTGTGGTCGTTTATCAATGGTTTCAAATATGAATCACACAAAACCTTTCAAAATAAGAGAACCTTTTATGTTGGAATTAAAATAAACCTCTTTGCCAATAACGTAGATGGTAGTTTTTGCATTTGCCAAATGTTTCAGAAATACCCGGGATTCTCAATAAATGAACACTATTACTATGGAAAATTAATTTTGCAATGATGATTAAGCAAGAGGAAATTTCGACCAGTATCTATGGCCATGAGAATAGGCAGAGTGAGCTTGTATATTTTTTGTGATCGACAAAATTCTGAGAAGTCACACTACTCTTCCATCTTCAAAAACATAGGTACCAAAATTACGTGAAAAGATGGTAGATAGTGTGTAGTTTAGAGTCAAGAGTTTTCGCCCAGTCTACATGACTCTTGAACCTACACATTTTGAAAATCACCATAAAAGAAAAAAAAACTCTTCGTAGCTCGAAACTATACACACGTTACGTGAATTTGGTACCTGTCTGTACCTTTGAAAAGGAAAGAGTACAGTAATTTATATTAGTTAAAAATTGAATGCCACCAAAACTATCTGTCTATATTAATTAATAAGAGTTAATTAAAGCATATATCAAATCAGATTAAAAATAATCAAACACATGTTCAATTATTTTAATACCTTAGATTACGTCAAAGATCAGGTCAACTAATTAATTTAACTAATAAAATATTAATTAATGTTATTGTTAATATTAAATTTTTTGTCGTTGTTTTCAAAGATAATAGTAATCTCAAAAGTAATAATAATAATAATAATAATAATAATAATAATAATAATAATCATAATAATAGTAATAACAACAACAATATAACAAACAATA